CTCAAATTTGTCAACTTTTATCTCGGGCAATAGGAAATGAAGAAACAGAATAAGAGGCAAAAAGGCAAGAAATAGAAAAATGATAAAAAAACAACAAAATAGGAAGCAAGGAATATATTCTAGATTAGACTTTATCGGCATAACATTCATTACTATACATACAATGTTATACATTTTCGCTATGTATGCAGTGGCATACATATGTTGTGTTAAGCTGTGTGATAATTTCGTAGGAAAACGGAAACGTTTCGTAAAATGCCATTCAACGGTGATAACGTTCAACTGATGCAATTCCGTCAATATGTAAATAAATAACATACAGTGCCCTCCATAAGTTTTATATATATATATATATATATCACTTCCTGTAAACTATCTAGTGATATCGCATGTAGAGGATGCAAATCGCGTAATCGCACATTCGATTCACTCGACCGTTTATTTTTCTTTCAACTTTATCAGTTGTCGACAGAATCGTACACAATTCTTATGCTTGCGACGAAATTGGCTGTAACTTTGCTCTTTATCTTATAGTTTGTGTTTTTGTGATGCTGATCAAAAGTTAATGCAAATAATATCACAATGCAAGTAAACCGTTTGTCTTCTACAGAATAATAGAAAGTTTAAAGTGTCATGAATCTTATATGTATCTGGTGATTACTTTTTATGTTGCAGTCAATCAAATCAATCAAATATCCTAGAATTAGAATGAAGAAAAATAATAGCATTTTTTTTTCAAGAGAGCACGTTTTAAAAATAATAGCATTTTATTTTCAAGAGAGCACGTTTTAAAAATAATGCAAACTTTATTCCATTCATTCGCTTCGTATTAACTATAAAATAAAATAAAGTTGCAGAGAATCAATTTTGTCAGAAGCTATTGGGTCGTCCGGAAAGTCCGTGCGAAAAATACGCACGAACTTTCCGGACGACCCAATACTTCTGACAAATGAGATGAGAATTATGCGGGATCTTTTCTATGAATTTATATACGAAATCGCGAAATCGACTGTGATGTGTGGTAGGTGCGTATTTTTAACAAAAAAAGATCAATCATTTGTAAGCATGAAATCGATTTTATGTCTAATCGATTTTACCGAACTACTTTTCGTCACGAGAGTCTAAGAAATTTTCTTGCGTTTTCTCCCCGCTTGATGTTCATACGTGGCGCAAGAACGTCTAGCGAGTACAGTTGCAGCCCCTTTTGTCAGGCCAACTACGAAATTACCGAGGAAATTAAGAGAACGCGGGCGAAACGAGGCTTCCTGGAACGAGTCGATCGTCGGATTTACCCTCCTTCCGCGGATTGACCCACGGCAATTACCGATTTCCCCCTCGTTCTCGACTTTGCAATTTGGCAAAAGTTTTCGAGAATTCGAAGCTACCTTTTCATCCTCTCTCTCTCTCTCTCTCTCTCTCTCTCTCTCTCTCTCTCTCTCTCTCTCCTTCTCTCAAAGCTAATGGGACTAGTCCAGCACGATCCTCTAATCACGATTCGATCGCGAAATTATCCTGCTCGATGGCCCACGTTCGTGCATCTGAATGTCTGGCGAGATCGATGAATGTCGAAGTCGTTACATTTGATTGTCGAGAAATAAGGCCGTTACGCAACAGGAGTGAATTTCGGGATTAAGTGGAATTTTTCAATCCGTATGTTGTAGGATACGCTTCTAAAAGTAAAGGGCGTCTTGACGGACGAGAAAAAGCACATCAGGTTCGCCGATTGGAGTGCCAACGATGTGAGTTTAAACATTTTATCATGATTAACCCTTCAATTCCCCATTATATTTTATCATGAGTGTATAACATGCTGTGTACGGCATATTAATTCGATTCAACTTTGTATATGTGTGCTTATAATTTTTATTAAAGTGTATATAGAAATGAACGTATTGCAACAAATTTTTTTTTTTTTCGATCAAAGTGCCACTTATTAAGGAATACAACGATATCAAGCAGTTATATATCTTTATTAATAAAAAGAGTTCAATAAAGCACTAAAGTAAATAAAAGTTTCGAAAAAATATCCTATCCAGGAAAAACAAAATACGGATACGCCATACGAAGAGTAAGCAACTGAAAAGTTAAAAGAATTTTCCACCTTGAATTTTACACTTGATGAATTTTTAGATCGAGGTGTTGAACAAGTATCTGTTTCTTACGTCGAAGCCGATCATCTATTTGGTAAACCTGTCGGAAAAGGATTACATACGCAAGAAGAACAAATGGTATGCGATATAATGGACGATTTTGAACTAGTATCTCCCAGTTCATTATATCTCTCGCTACTCTTTGTAACAGGTTAATCAAGATAAAAGAATGGGTCGACAAGAACGATCCGGGCGCGGTGTTAATTCCTTTCAGCGGCGCCTTCGAAAACAAGATTCTCGATATGGACGAGGCGGAGCGCGCAAAATACTTCGAGGAACACAAAGTCACCAGGTTGGTATCTCTCAGCCTCCTCCGGTCCGTTATAACGATTATTATTACGTTTACCCTCTAAATGTTGTTGTGTCGCGCTCGCAAATAAGGGGGTACGGCCCGGGGCCCCGCGTCGTTTACCGTCCCCTTGAAAACTTCGAGAAATTCGGTAGTGTGCTTCGCTCGTATTGCCGGTTGGCGACGAAGCGCCGCAAGATTGCAGGGAAAAGAAGGTCGGACGTTCGTAAAATCGCGCTGCGGACGCGTCCTCCTTCGGCCGAGTTTGGGGAGTTCCCACATTTAGCTATGCACCGAGTTATTCTCTAACGGTAATAATGATGTGGTGGGCACGGTCGGCTCGGCGTCTAGACCCCTGTCCCACTCTCACCACGTGGGACGGCTAATAAAAACCGTAACCGGCACCGGTCGCGGCGCATTATGTTTTTACGAACGGCTATTCAAATTCTTGTAAAATTGCATAAAAACCCCTCCCGCCCTCGCGGGCACGCCGGTATAATCGTGGAGGGTGGGTGGAGCGAGAAGTAATCGGCGGTGGTTCGGCAATTCGATTGGTTAGCGGGTCATTCGTACCCCAGGGCGGTACGTGCGTTGTACGTGCGGTATACGCGTATACAGACCTGCATCACGATCTCTTTCTCTTTTTTTTTCTCTTTTTTTTTTTTTTTACTTGTCGGAATGAATTTTAATCGAGCTGTACGGGTACAGTTATAATTATGAGTCGGAGACTCAATTAGGGCATTGAACAACATTGAATTAAATCCAATTCGATACGCCAGAGTTGCCAGAAAGTACTTTAATAAGCGAGAAAGAGAGAGAGAGAGAGGCGGACGTTGGGAAAATATTTAAATGAAATAGTAGTGAGCGAGGAACGTTTGGTATTTCCCGCGACACATTCATTATATAATATTTTCTGAACTTTCTCTCACAGCTAGTGAGTTAGTGAGGAAGTAGAAGAGAGTCCACGATACTCCCCAAGTTTGCCTAATGATCGGGGAATACAAACGAAGGGACGAAAGATACCATGATTTTATTTCGAGACCGCAGATAACTGAGGGCGCCGGGAAATAGGTCCCCGACTGGAGTCGAAATGATAAAATTGCGGTATTAAGTCGTTCGGCTTTATGTGTATTCTTTGAACTCTCAGACTTTCGTCAGGCCCACCGCGCGTTGGACGGCTCCACTTGCGCTAACCCGTTATTAGACGATATTTGGCCCGAGACAATCTTATTCCACAACTTGGACACTTCCCGCTTTGACCGCGGACGCGCCTCATTTTTTTCGTGATTCGCGGAAAGTAAGAAACTTACACCTCGTCGTATTCGGCATATAGCAGGCACCTATCCTAGTCTCGGTAAAGAAACACATTTATTTATTGTACATTTCTTTTCTTTGTATAGTACACTCGATAAAATCATTGTACAAGGATACAAGGCGTTACAGCTGCAATATTTTTTCACGTCCGGTCACGATGAAGTCAAGGCGTGGACAATTCAGGTAAATATAGAATTCATAGCAATAAAGTTAAATAAAAATTAATTTATATTTAGAAAATTTCATAATTATATTAATGGAAAAATTATGTATTAAAATAGTAAAATTATATGTTAAATAACATTAATGATAACAAGAAAAATATGTATTATATATTTTTTATATATCTCTCTTATCCTTTTATTATACTAACGTAATTTTATTTTTATTAATTATTTTTATTAATTAATTTACCGTTTATTGATGCATATTAATATGGAAATATGTTTTTTTTTGTTTTACAGAAAGGCGCAAAAGCGCCTCAAGCTGCGGGAAAAATACATACAGATTTTGAAAAAGGATTTATCATGGCAGAAGTGATGAAATTTGAAGATTTCAAGAACGAGGGCTCGGAAGCAGCAGTAAAAGTATTTGAATTATAGTTATAATTTTTATATTAAACGATACGTGACACATATTTTCTACTTTTACATACGTTTTATTTTGTTGTTAGGCCGCCGGAAAGTACAGACAGCAAGGACGTAATTATGTAGTCGAGGATGGCGATATTATTTTCTTCAAATTCAACGCAGGCGCTGGGTTGAAAGACGCGAAGAAGAAGTGATGGCACGCGTTTCTCATGTTGTTGCTGGTCCATCTGTACATCAACATGATTCTGTTATCCAGTTGCATGCATCATCCTCGCGTTAATCAATCCAACTCGCTTCCCGATCCTCCCTGACTTTTTCATTCACGATAAGTATACACGCTAATGTGATGATCGATAATGATAATTATTTTTATATTTTGATTCCGCGGAATCTATAAAAATTAATCGTGCTCACCATGCGTTTGCAAAGAAAAAAAGTTATATTGGAATAATTCAACATTCTTAATGTTCCAAATTATGCGCAGAGAACAATTTGAATATACACATGTAATTTTTTTTATAAAGGACAATATTATCTACGCAAAAGAAAAAGGTAGCATTTTCACGTTTATTTTCGTGTATATAATTATCTGATTATATAGATCGCATTCTATCTATATTATTTTTTACTTTTTATCTTTGTGAAAATGTGCTGACAGAGAAAGGAAAAGAGAATGAAAAGAAAAGGGTCGACGTGTACGTAAAGCATTTCTTTGTACTTTTTTCTGTATTTATTCTACAAATATTAAACTACATTGACGTGAAAGGATTGTAGCGGCTTCGTCATTTGCGAATACGCTCTATTGCTAGTTATATATATAGTAATATTAATAATTAATTATTCTGACAAGATGCGCTACAATCGATAAAAATCGCATACGTAAAACTTAGTCGCCAACGATTTTATCCTCTACGTAGGATGGTTTATGTGGTTACAGAATCAACCTCTAGATGGCACGAAAAGTTCACATTTGTTTCTTTGGTATAATAATTCATAAGAGACTTTTTTAATTTTTTTCCATTTTAGTTTCCTTTTAACGCGGAAAATTTATCACGATTGTTATTCAAGATTTATTTAATTGCAGGTAATTTATCTATCTTCATCGGATACTATTTTCATCCATTGTTGAATGTTTTATTGAGAAGTCGAGATTTCAGCCATTGATAAAATTCTACCTCTTGTGCAAGCACTTTTCTCAAGGCTGCGTCTTTGATTCGTAGCCTTGAATTTGCCGAAGAAATGGCCGGATGCTTTTCTCCTGTATATAAACAGAAACATGTAAGACACGGGTATAAAGAATGACGAAACGCTCAATCGATAAGATTAAAATATATAGATATATGGATCGATAAATATTTATACGAGTACTTACGGAAATGATCATAGACACGGATAGCACCCTTAAAAAAATAGGGAAATTCACCTGCAAACGCGTTTAGTGACTCCTCCATGTAATCTAATATACCAACGACAGGATACCATCGAATAACATTTGCTTTAGCACGCTCCATTGCCCACGTTTTATTTTGTTCCCTAGGGAAAACACATAGTATAAAAATCAATAACAGCTACTTCATATTTTTTTTATAAAAATATTCTTATTCGGTGTGCGCTAAAGTAACAGAAATGCCTACTCGATATGCAATAAAGTGTTACATGAAATTATACGCAATGAGATTTATTTGAATTTATTCGAGAATAATTACCTGGGATGATTTTTGCACCCTAATAATAAAAAAATAAAGCTTACAATAATTTTATTTACAGATTGAGAATCCATACCTATTTTTTTAAATTTCTTTTACGTTTTTTTATAAAATATTTTGTGAGTAAATCTATCACAATAATCTCAAATATTAATAAATTATAGTTCGAATATAATATAATATATTAATAATATGAATTGTAGAATTAATATACAATGTACATATATACATAATTAATAATGATTACTCTTAATTAGGATGTCAAATTCACTCTTCAGGTGATCGTTCGGATGACGTAAAGAAAATTAGATCAATAAAAATACTTACATACAACGCGGATCCTGTCCACAAAAATAAGGTATAATTCCATAATAATGCATCCCTTTCTCTCCTTTTTTATACCTGAATCATGAGAAAATATGATTATTTTAATATAGAACCTCGTTGTCTTCCTAATATTTTCTTTCCTCTACCCCTTTTTCTCCCTTCTTCACCCCATAATAATAGGTAGAAAAATATACTTTTGCCAAATTCGTAGATCCAAGGGATCTCTCACTAAAGATATAAAGGTAGGTCCCTGCCGTCCAAATTCCGAGAAATTTAGGAACCTTACATCCCCATCGAAAGTTAAGGGAATAGCTTCTTGTCTGATGATACTCGTAATCTCTTCTATCAACAACTCCTATTAAATCAAAAGTTTCTTATGGTTTGCGATATAAATTAAGTTACGACTTCTGAAAAACTTCTTTTGTGAAATATTATAAATAAAAATTAAATTATTTGCGAAAACAATTCATCGAGTCTTGAATAACAGTCAGGGAGAATTTTGTTCTCGAACCTGCTGTGAACTCGACAAGAGCCCGTTGTCGCCCGGTGGCAGACGTATATGTTTGAAAGTATTGTATCCTTGTAATCGCTGCAGGATCAGCACCATCAACTCTCCACCCGCACCGGGTATGCGTGTCAACATGAGAATGTGCTTGTGCTTGTATGGCAAGTCTCCCAATTCGGCGAGGGACGGAGTAACGTATCGGTGCGTCTGCTCGACAGTTATAACAATCGTAAATATTAACGTTATAGTCACGTTTCGATAAATGGATGCACCCCAAGTAGCTTACAAAGCGCTAAGAAAGCGCATATAATCGCTTTTTTAGCGCTTTACAAGCACTGCTGTGCTACTTGGAACTTAACATCTTACATTTTTAATCCAAGAATATAATTACCTGATTTCTTCGCATAAACTCATCTGGGGTGTTTTTTTACACCTCAATTAAAAGTATAATTATCAATTACGTATTATTGATTGTTTTATTATAATTTATAGTATTTAAGATCATTACGTAAATTTGTTCAATATTTTCTTTAAAAAGAGTAGAAAGAAATTAAATAAAATGTGGATTTTTTTTTTCGCCAGTAAAGAAAATTCTGTGAAACTTCATTTTCTCGCTGCTGGGATGTAAAAGTCACTCCAGGAAACTATTTCCCGGGTCAAAACCCCATTTTTTGATGAAAAAAAAACAGAGGCGTTAATCGCGCGGAATTAATTGCACGTCGCTGAATATGTCCAGTGTGATTACTATACAATTTTGTAATAGCATGAAACACGACGGCGTGCTTTTGCATCGTGCACATCTCATGCTTGAGGAATGCATTCTCCATTGCGCAAGCATAGGCAGTCATCTCGGTGCATTACTTCGAGACTGCACATTTGCCGCTCACTAATTAAATACAGACTTAAACGATGATACGTTCCACAGCACGTGCTTCAATTTGATATACACACTTGGAGAATATACAATTAAACTCGAGTCAAGATTCAAGCGAGAGATATTCTGGGAAACGCAAAGTTTTCCACAGTCGACGCTAGATTGATATACCTATTTAGTTATAATTGACACGGAGTTTTATTTAGGTATAATAAGCATGATGTATTAGTCTTCACCTGACTACGAGTGACAGTCCATCGATCATCGGCACGTGACACTTCCTGTTTCCTCAACGCGCTACGTTTCTCGGTGGTAATCGACCCGAGTAATTCTGTGGATGACCGCGTGTTTAGAACGACGAAGATTATCGTCAGACACGTCGAAAGCGATAACAGGAGACCGCGGTTTCGACGCATCTTTTTTTATTATTAAATTGTCAAATATGTGTATAATACTGATGTAATTTCGCACGTTCTTTTACCGAGAGATATTCTATGGATTATCGAGGCCGTCACCGAGTAACTGAGGAGAATGTTAGTGGGTCAGGCACTGTAAACTACGTGATCCCTACATCTTCGCCACAGCCTACGACCCCCACCGATTGGTTGATCGGGTGAAACGCAACATTTCACTTTCCAATGTATACTGCAACGGTCGCGTTTGCATATCACTCTGTATGACTAATCTCTAAGAGCAACTTCAACCGAACCCGGAACTTACAGCGAGTTCAGTTGGACGCAATAGTGCCCAGCAAACGAGAATGGGTTGAAATGAATTGAAATGGATTCAGATTTTCCGGAAATGCTTTTTCAATTCTGAATGCATTTTTATTCATTTATAGGAATTTGCATGGAGCATAATTTCTATGCCTTTCAATCTAAAAATAATATTAGCTTTTTCTGTGCATTGTTTAATACTGTTGAATACTGTTTAATTCAAAATTTTGAATGGAAAATGCAGTTTTTCAATCCAATTGCATCCAATTGAATCTAATTGAATTCAATTGAATCCAATTAAATCTAAAAAAAAAAGTATTCGCTATTTAAAATACGCGCGGATTAGGATAGAGAAAAATTTCAATCCATTTTAATCCATTCTCATTTACTGGGTGTACACTGTAGATATTAAAGCCGTTGTACGCTGATTTAATCTAAATATAAAGATATTTTGAATTATAAAATACATATTTTACTTAATGGCACAATAAAGTATATTGATGATTTCGCCATTTAATTCGTTTCTATGTCTATATTAAACATGCATTTTTACATTAATCCATGCACGACGGTTTTAATGTGCGCCAGTGCGCACGTGTGTAATTAAATTTAATATTAATCAGCGATTAATTTAATCGGCAAAATTGTTTATATTATATAAAATTTCGAATTATATTATATTACTTTACATTATTTCTTTCAATATATTAAACGGCAAAGAATTAATTATTTATATTGATGAAATAGCACAAGAGTAGTATTGATTAATAAAATTTAATTACTAATTGAATTAATCGAAATTTAATCGATATCATTAATTTTATTACTCTTTAAAACCTTTAAAGCAAATCTTATTCTGAAAAATAAAATTCATTTTAAAAGTTAAAAAATTCATTTTAAAATTTGAAAATTGAATCTTTTTCTTTCAAAACTGGCATATTTTTACACTCTTTAAAGTGAAATTTTACTCCAAAGAATTTAGAGAATAAACAGTAGGTGCCTACTATTATATTTTATGTTTAATATGAATAGAGAGAGGATGTATATAGGTAATTATTTTTCTTTATTACTATATTAAAAGAAAGATTTAATTAGGAAAATTAGTTAGATAAATTACAATTAAACATTTTGTATTTTAAATAATTGAATTATTTTATCGATTAAATTGGTCATATATCGAAGGATCTGATAAGCAATCCTGTAAGTAAGACGTTAACAAATAAGTATATTGGCAGATTTATCACCGTAGATATTAGCATCAATATTTTACCGGCAATTAAGTCAACGTGATCCGGTGATCGAGAGTAGAAATTATCAAACAGAATCTGTCAGAGAATTTGCAAAGGGTTTAAATGAAAGATACCATTTATGATTGCGAAATGATGGATTCGGATTCAATTTCTGTCAATCTATCAATCATATTCCGTTAACAGGCCTCATTATATTTCCGCATTTTGCATTATGCCGAAATTCGTCGATAGCAGACACCTTGCAAAATCTGTTTTCGACAGATTTGTCTGTCTGGGAAGCGAGAAAGAATTTCTCGCCGATAGAACGACAGAACGTAATCGCGTGTTTGAATGAAACTTGAAAATGATCGAACGGGCGCATCGGGCAAGCCGGTGCAGAGACCGGCCGGTGCGGTGGCGCCGCGATCCACGTGTTGGTGCGCTCTTCGCAATCTTTCTACCGACGGGTCTATTTGTAAACACGCGCGACGTAAGATGGACGTATACGAGCACCGCAGGAAAGATTGGGAGGATTTCAATGTGTCGCGAGAGGAATTGAAAAACATAACCGACTGTCTGAAGAAGGAGGAGTTCCGCAAGCTGTTAATCGAGTACGCGGAGGACGTGACCGACCCGGATAACAGGAAACTCTACGAGAAAGAGATCACCCAGCTCGAGAAGGAGCGGGGCGTAGACGTGACGTTCGTTAACCCCGAGCCCGGTTACGTCATTAAGACCAGCGTGAACGGCGACAGGAAGTGCTTTTTGAACATCAGTAAGAACGACGTTGTCGCGCGTCCCACCAGTCAGCCTTCCTACGAACAGGGCCACCGTGGCTTACAGTGGTCTATTCCGTATACGCTGGTACCACCCCGCTATGACCTTGACAAGAAGAATGTGCGGTGTGTGGTGTATGACGTGGTCTTCCATCCGGACACCATCTACTTGGCATCCAAGAACGCGCGGTTCCGCGAGATCGTCAATAACACGGCTATGGATGGCGTGGAAAATAATTTTAAGGTTCATATCTCTAATAACAAAATTCAGTCATTTTTTTGCATTACACTAGATTAGTGCGCACTGAAAGCTTCTCATACGTGAAATTAGAAATTAAATGTAAACACATATAAACTATATTATTTGAAATGATGAAATACTTAATAATGATATTGTTATTATTTAGCAGAATGTACATTATTTCATTGTCAAAGTTAATTATATTATTATGCTACTGCATTTAGATACTTTATAAAGCAGCCTTCTGTGTGCCGATCCAGTATAGTGTGAGTGGCCTAATATTTACAATTATTAGGTTATGCTCCAATCTTTTCTTTCAATGCTCATTTCTATCAAAGTAGATTAACTTCAATCCTACTTCAACTTACTCTTTATCTTTCTAATTTTTAGAACTAGAAAAAGATAAAGAGTAAGATTAAAGTAAATTAAACTGAGATTGTAGTTCACGTTGATAGAAATGAACATTAACTGAACTAATTGTGTTGCCTTTATTTTTCTCTAAAGAGGAGTAGAAATATGAACCATGCAAAAAGAATCAGTTGAAAAGGACACACTTAATTTTATTTTTGTAATATCCGTTTCTAATATGTGTTCTCTATGTCTTGCTAGGTGAAATTGGACAGAAAGAATCTGAAATTTCCTAAGATTAACTTCAAAGGGATGACTCATCCTACAGTGATCAGAAAACCTTCGGAAACACCACCGACAGAATCACTGGATATAGAACCAGAAATCTACCAGAAGATAATGTCGAGTTACGACGAAAGTCGGGAGAGCCAATTAAACCAGACGGAAGAAAAGCCGAAACGTGCCCCGCCAGCCACCACTCATTATAAGGATAAGCAACAGAAGTCTGTAGATGAAAAATATGTTACGCCTAAATTTTCCATAAAACATCAATCCGATGTGGAAATGGAAGATTTTGTTTTAAGCCGAGACGCAAAGATGTTTGCCGCAATTCCTAAAAAATTGGTGATTACCATAAATTTGCCCTTGTTGAAAAGCGCTAATGACGCAACGCTCGATGTACATGAACAATCTCTTACCCTGAAAAGTGAAAAGCCTGCAAAATATTTGCTGGATCTTCCATTACCATATCCCGTAGACGGAGATAGTGGAAATGCTAAATTTGATCCAAAGTACAAAAAATTAATTGTAACTTTACCAGTCATTCGGTCATTGATACCAGTAGGTGATACTGATAGAGCAGATAGTGGAGTTGACAGTGATCAAAACAGTGCTGCAACAATAATGCCCAAGGATGATGAAAAAAATTTGTCTAGTAACAAAATAGAATTAGTGAAAGAGTGCGAAAATATAAAGTTTGATAAAGAAAGTGAAGTAACAGATAAGTGTGAAGACACTGCCTTACGGACTAGTAATGAGACAGAAATCACTGATGTATTTATGAATCCTAGTTTTAAGTACAACCTGCCTGCTTATACTTGTAATATTTACAATAATCAATTAGCTATTATTATAAATGTAAAAAACGTAAATCCGGATGCAATTCATCACAAAATTTTAGATAATAATGTAGGAATACATATCTTACTAACATCTATGGGTGCTGGATTTTTTCCACAACATTATTCATTGTGTCTTAAGATAGGAAATGGCTATATTGAACCAGAAACTCTTACAATTGAACCATGGGACAATAACGTTGTTTTTAACATCACGGTGAAGAATATTGAGAATGTAACACAATATTTTGTTGGAGTGGATACAGAATTCATGGAAGGAAAAGATCTTCCTACAGCAGCGTCATTTACGAGCAAATTTAAAGAATTAATGGTAAAAATATTATAAATATATTGCACACTTTAAAATGTAGAATGTTATACATTGTCTATAACAAGAAAAATATTTTTACAGTCCTCTCCAAAAGCTGAATCTCAGGTAGAAAGGCAAATCTCCGTACAGTCGCAAGATGATGGTATTGTCATAAATATTCATCCAAATCAGCAGGATTCCGATGACGAAGAGGAGTATGAGGAAAATGCAAGAGTTGTGAAACGACGACAAGAGAAAAAGCACATTGAGAAAGTCAGATCAGTTTCAGAAAGCAGTGGAGATGAATTGGCAAGCAATAGCAGCAATAGCAGTGTGAGACATTCGAAAGGAATATTAAAGTCACGTCGCGCCCGCGATTTTTCACGTTCCATGTCCGAATCGAGTGCCGACGAAAACAGTCTACCTGCATCATGCACAGATTATCATTATGATGATCATTACGATTCCATACATGATATCAATTCTGAATCAGATTGTTCCAGTTTGAAAAAGACTGTACGATTTAATGATGTTGTTTCACGGCAGTTATTTAGGTACTGTAACAAGGGATCAATTAGCTTTTCAAAGGTTTC